CGCTTCATGCCCGGCCCGGCCCCTCCCCCCGTGACGCGCGGGCAGCGCGACCGGCGACGGGAACACGGGGGGACACGGGGGGAGATGGGGGTGGGACACGGGGGGGGACACGGGGCATCCTCCTCCTCCCCCAGCCCAGGCCTGTTCCTGCTCTGAGCTTTTCCCAAAACCAACTCGTTCCGCCCCAAAACGCGGCTCCACGAGCACCTCACTGACCGTGGCAACGTTTTCAGTGCCAACCCCCCACATTTCTCCATTTTTGGCCGCCAGAAAAGACCCCCGGACACAATTCCATCTCTCACTTCCAAAGGCAGCTGAACGCGACCTTTTTGGGGAGAAGAGTCTTCATTTGGCTTTTCCTTGGATTTCTGTCTCATCAAACCCAAACAGTTGCACTTGAGGATTTAGAAAAAGTCTTTTCCAACCAAAATTACCCTATTAATTTTTGTTTCCCAGACACAAATGCTCCCTCATTCACACATTCCTCTTATGCTTCACATTCCCTCAATAATTTGGGATCATTTTTGAAGCCCCTGAGAATTAAATCAATGGATTGGAGTGTTGGGACGCAGCAAGAACCCACCTGTGGTTCCACACCATCATTCCTAGTGGTGTTCCAGCTCTCCAGGCTCTCATCTCCACCATCCCAAGCTTTTAATTTCCTGATGGATCCCTGGGAATGCTCAGCCCGGCCAGGAATGTGCGTGGGAATGGGGAATAACGGAGCAAAACTCATTCAAAATCCCCAGATCCCACCCTTCCCTGGAGCTGCTGGGAAGGCAGCTCCTTTCTCTTCCCAAACATGACAGTTTTCCAACCCACATTCCTTAGTTTTTTAAACGCACACACAAAAATAATGGAATGTTGCTGGAACAACCAAATCTTGGAAAAATGAGAATAAATCCAAGTGGGAGACTTCACCCTTGGGGATTTCTCCTCCCTGAAAGCTTTTATGGAGGAACCTTATGGAGCTGCTTTACCAACAGCTTTTGCCCTGAAGCTGGAATATTCTCAGTATTTCCCCAGTCCCAGATACTGGGTTTTTTGGGGATGAGTGTCCTACCCCATTGGGATGTCAAACCCTAACACTACTCACCTAGTTCCCTCTGCTCCAGGGTGTGTTTCCTGGGCATGTCCCCTCCCTTGTTCCTCAGCAGTTCCTGGGAGCAGATGACCTGGCCAGTGTCACCCTTGGCTTCCAGAAGTGTCCCCACCCCCCCAGTGTCCCCCTCATATACCTCAGCTGTCCCCACCCTTCCCCTCCCTCCTCCACCACCCACACGCTCCAGAGCTGATTCCCCCTAAGGAGCAAACTCAAAGTCTCCCCAAATCATCCTCCTCCCCTTTATAATTCATTAACATTAATTCATTATTATTAAAGTGTATTGTTATTAAAGGCTCATCAAACCCACCTGGGGTGGGGGGGCTGGCTTTGATGTGCCTGCCCTGTGCTGGGGAGGGAAGGTGGGTTTTGTGCTGCCCTGGGCTCATTATCAACCTGTGAGGCTCAATTGATAGGTTATTTGCTAGAGCTGTGGTAATTAGCAGCAAACAGAGCCTGGACTCTGCTCCACTGGAGTTATTAGAAGCCCAAACTGGTCCTTACTGGGCCATTTTCCAGCTACTGGGACGTGCAGCACTGATAAGACCCAGCAGGGATCAATCCCACCCGTTATCTCAGGGCCTAGTCCCACCGATAACCCCACGGTGCTTGGGGTTTATTTTCCGTGGGTTCCCCCCCCCTCTAAAAAGGGCCCCGGTGCCTTTTTTTCTTGTTTGATTTTATTTTTCTTTTGGTGATAAGTAAGAGCTGAATGTGCAACAACACTCGGGTGCTCACTGGGCTGGAGGGCAAAGCCACGGGTGTGCGTGACCAGCCCCACGGATCCCAGGGCTGCCTGGGCAGGGGATCAGGGTCTGTCCGGGAGGAGGAGAAGGGGTTGGGTGGGAGAAGCATCCCCGGGGATTTGCAGGAGCCTGGGAAGAGGGGATGGAGCACCTGGGTTTGCTGAGGGGAAGGAGTTGGGCGCCTCCTGGGGTGGGAGAAGTGGATGTTTCCCAAACTTCCAGTTTTTTGGCACTTGGAATTGGGGGAAGGAAGAAAGTGATCCATGTGGAAGGATGCGCGGGAGGGCACAGAGCTGGTCGGGTCACTCGGGGGGACACAGAGGGGTCCTGGATGTGGGCCAGGGAAACCGACACAGAGTAGGGGGAGCCCCCCAGGGTGGGGAGTCCGGGTGGGCACCGGGCTCTGGGGGAAACCGTGGGTCTCCATGGGAGACTAGAGGGCTCTAGG